GCAGGAATTGTTAATTTGCGACGCGGGAGCGGCGTCGTTCCACGAATGCGAAAATCCGCACTTCAACCCCCGGTCGACAACTCGCTCGAGTGTCGCACTTATCCGCTCTATCGGTGTATAACATTAAGAATAATAATCACGTGCATATGTGTACAATAACGATAAGTCCCCCGTTTCGAGTGTACCATCGCTTAATTGCGACGTTTCGTTTGAATATCCTCCCTCCCGCCTCTAAACTGTACCTCCTCCTCCGGTCTTTGATCAAAAGTTAATTAGAAATCCGAAACCTCGCCAGAAGTTGTAACCTGCAACGAATATTTCGATCTCAGAATCAGGGAATCTCGTCATTAATCTAATATGTATATATATATATGTAAAAGGAGAATATTTTATTACATCGAAAGACAATAAAAATTTTTTCTCTTCACAAAGGAATCGATTATCTACTCTCGTTACAGGTGATACACTGTTCCGGCTACTTAAGGTGTGTCGTGGAAGGGCCAGTGGGGTCGGAATACGAAGACGGTGCAGGCCGACACTGCATTCGAAAAGTCGGTCTACTGGCAGTTGGCCATTCCCTACCGGGACGTTGTCTAACCGAAGTCAAACTGTACCAGAACATGTTCATGTTTCGTGCATCGTTGGACTTGAAGTTGATCTTCGTCGACGCGAAGTAAGGACAAAAAAATACAAAAAAAAAAAAAAAAAAAGAAAGAAAAAGAACGAAAATGACCGATAAATTAACCACTTTCTCCTATTAGAAAATTATTTCGATGAATCACGTTTATTTGTCTGGTGTCTCGATTGAATTGGAGCAGGGATGGAAAAAAAAAAAAAAGTAAGGAAGGGGGAGAGAAAGAGAAACTCGACGAAACAACGGGCCAGATTATTTCTGTCGCTGCAATTACGGCGCGGTGTTAAGTTGCGTCGTCGATATTTCGACGCCAGAGGAGAGAGAAGGGTCCTGGTCGGCGGCCATTAAAATCAGTTTCGTGTTACCACGGACCCGGCTAGATATTTTTTTCCTTTCTCCCATTATTATTTATTTTTTTTTCTTCTCCTTCTTTTTTTTGTTTTTTTCACCTCGCTTTTTTCCCTTTTCGTTTTATTCGCGCCAAATAAATATTCCGCGTGGACAAGGCTGTATCACGCACACACACGCGCGCGCCCACGATCCACGCGTGTGTACACGCTGGGAAATGAACACGTGACGGAGTATAAATACGGGGGGAGGGGTGGGGCGATGGAACGCGGGATGAAATTTTATATCGCGTCCACGGAAAATCGATTTCCACGGATGACGATGGTTATGTAAACCTCGAATTCGACGGGACTCCGGCAAATCCGAGCAAAAATAAATATATTCCGTTTCTGGAATATTTGTAGTGAAAGGAAGAACAGCGATATTGTAGCGTTTTTTTTTTTTTTTCCCCTCTTTTCCTCGGTACTGTTGCAGCGTGTCACAATTGAC